TATGGCACATTCTTGGTCTCATTTATACGGCACATGGATGACCTTTGTGTATACGGCGCTCTGTAGGTCTCATTTATAAGGCACAGAGATGACCAATATACAAACGACACAAAGAACATTCGGGTATACGGCACTCTAATGAAACCAGTAAATGACTCTTATATAAACAGCACCAACAATTCTATTTAAGGCATTTATGAATTATTCGTTTAAAGGGGACGATAAAATTACCCATGTGTATACGACACTCAGACAGTCTCGGTTATACGGTTCTCAAGTGTATCTTTGGCTGCTGTCGGCACACCACTCGTTTAAACGGGACGATTGATGGCCCTTGATATTTATATACTGTATTAAGACTCTCGGTTATTTGGCACGATGGCGAGCCTTAGTATGTGGCACCGAGGAATTCTTGGTTATATGACACGATGGTGACCCCTCATATACGGCACTAAGCAATATTCGGTTATAAGGGACACACACACACACACACACACACACACACACACACACACACACACAAAAGAGTGCTTGAATCAACATAATACCACAATAACACTCCGGATTGTTAGACGAAAGAACAAAAACAAACAAACAAAAAAACAAATAAACAGTCTTTTTTGTTGGGGGGAGGAGGAGGGAGGAAGGGAGGAGGTGGTAAAGAGATGGAACAAAAGAGTAAGGAAGAGGAGGGATAATTGGAGAGAGGAATGATGGAAGGGGGGAAATGGAGAGGAAAAGAGGAGGTGGAGGTTGAAGAAGGGTTGGTGGAGAGGTGGAAGGAGGGGGGATGAAGGAGGAAGGGAGGAAGAACGACGAGAAGGAGGAACAGGAGAAAAACGGTGAGGATAGTTAACGTTTTGTATATCAATATTTCAGTTAATATTTACACATCACAAATTTCACCAGAACTTGTCATCAGAATATTAATAATAAACTATTTTCTTTCCTTTTTTTTTATCTATTTTATTTTATTACTTTTTTTTTTTGCAGACTCGAAAAAAAATCAGGGTATGAATTTTTCTGACATGGGCTATTAATAATTTTTTTTTTCAATGGGGAATGACAGAGAGGGAGCAGCAAGAGGTGAATATTAATATGCTACGAGTAATTTTATTTTGTATTTATCTGATTTATTTATTAATTTACTTTTTTGCAATGTTTCGAACTACATACATTTTACACTGATGAAATTTATACCATAACAAATGATTGAAGAAAGTTGATTAATGACACGTACAGGTGATCAAATAAATCCAAAAGGTGTATTAAAATGTAGATATAACACAAACCAGCAGCGAGTGTGAGTGGTAGTTGAATTTTTACGAGTGATGACTTAACGACCAATTCTAGACCACCTCCTCGCAATATAACGCACCACCTAACATAGATAACTCCAATATGTGTTTATGATAAGTCTATGATATTTTTTCTCACGGTATCAGCATAGCGTCACCCACCTTCACTATCTGGAAACGTTATAGTGAAAAAGTTAATAATATCCGTTGTTTTACAGAGTGGTTCAGAGAGGGACTTCTGCAACACTAGTATCCGCTAAGACTTATCAAATAGATGTATCTTAAATTGAATAATATTTTATGAGTTGTATAGATTCAAGGAACTGGTAATCTATGTGAGGAAAATAAAATGGTAAACTAAATATTTCTTACCTTTATAAATACGTGGAATTCATAATAATCTTGACCTATTTTATATAATATTCCAATAATTATTTTATCTCAGAAAATAACTGAATAAAATATAATAGTTTGTGAAGAGGATAATAAGCGATTTTATTTAGAAAACTGAAAAGATAATTTATTTTGATTGGTTAATACCTGAACAACGCTGATTATCATTGGGCCTGATTTGTTTACACCTGGCCAAAAATCCTTTCCAACAAAAAATAAAAATAAACACTATATTTTGTCTTGCATCTACATTTACAGTTGAGGAAATGAAAACAATCGAATACAGTGTCGAAAAAAATTACCTTCATTTGTACCGAAAAAAAAATCAAAGTAATAAATTCAAGTAGTAGGTCAATTAGATAATATATTCTAAGCTCAAGAAAGTGAATGAAAAAATAAGATTCCTTCCGCCTTCTGGTTTGTCGCCTAAGATGGCAACACTGTCAGGCGGTGGTCACAGGAAGGGAATATCTCCAAGGAATTGTAGGAATGATGACTCTCTCTCTCTCTCTCTCTCTCTCTCTCTCTCTCAGCAACATTAGTCTCCAGACGGTTGAGAAAAATGCCATCTATCGCCAGGTGGTCACACGATCAGCTGTTCGAATCCCACCAGACACCCTCAAGACTCTCAAGGTCTCCTACAGCTGCTGGGTAACTTGAGTTTTATCTCCTATCTCTTGGCATCCTATCTATCACCTGGTCTCCTATCTATCTCCTGGTGTCTTATCTATCTCCCGGCCTCCTATCTACCACCTACCCCCACCTCCCTATCCTCTTTCAACTCTCCGCACCTGAGTTTATGACAGGTAGACGCCTTCCACCTGTAAACAAATATATAACAGTACTGCACGTCTACTCCCCTCTGCCTATAGAACAGTGGTGCCACGTCTCTCCCTCTGCCTATAGAACAGTGGTGCCACGTCTACTCCCCTCTGCCTATAGAACAGTGGTGCTTACGTCCTGCTCCCCTCTGCCTATAGAACAGTGGTGCCACGTCTACTCCCCTCTGCCTATAGAACAGTGGTGCCACGTCTACTCCCCTCTGCCTATAGAACAGTGGTGCCACGTCTACTCCCCTCTGCCTATAGAACAGTGGTGCCACGTCTACTCCCCTCTGCCTATAGAACAGTGGTGCCACGTCTACTCCCCTCTGCCTATAGAACAGTGGTGCCACGTCTACTCCCCTCTGCCTATAGAACAGTGGTGCCAAAATCCTGCTCCCTCTGCCTATATAGAACAGTGGTGCCACGTCTACTCCCTCTGCCTATAGAACAGTGGTGCCACGTCTACTCCCCTCTGCCTATAGAACAGTGGTGCCACGTCTTCTCTCTTCTGGCTCGTATCTCTCCCTGGTTAAGGAGGTGTCTTTTGGCATCACCTGAAGATTTGGCAACCCAGCTTATTTCACGTGATGATTGAATACCCTAATGCTAACCTAACCTAACCTAACCTAACCTAACCATGTAGTGTTAAGGTGTTTTAATCATCAGGTGAAATAAGGTAAGGTGCTTAATCTTTAGGTGATCCATATGAGGAGAGAGAGAGAGAGAGTAGTAGCAGCAGCTTGAGTCTCTGGTTAAATATAGACATTTTAGAGATGGTCATGTCCCAGCGCCACGTTTTCTATAAATACTTCCATCTCAGCCGAGTGCAGCCTTACCCTTGTACAGAACTTTAAGACCACAAGTATCTATAACCCTAACAGATTCTTAACTCATTATATCCAGTTCAGGTTAATGTGTACCTTTCTATTGGTCTCTAAGGGTTAATCTATTTTTCAACAGGTAAGTTCAGGTGTGAATATAGTTCTATTCTAATTAAGTTAAGGGATTTTTTTTATGCGTGTTCTTTCCCAGATTTAGGTTAAGGTGGTCTCATTAATCTGTCTAGGTTAGGTTAGGATAGGTTAGGTTAGGTTAGGTTAGGTTAGGTTAGGTTAGGTTAGGTTAGGTTAGGTTTTCATGGTGAGGATTTATACTTTTTGATATAATTAATTACCTAT